GAAAATGTAAACAGTATGGATTAGGGGTGATAAAGCATGAAAATCTGTGGCAACCTCAGGTTCTGCTGAGTGTGCTCAAGAGATATAAATATCTGTGTTCAACTGTAAAATACTACAGTCACTGAGTTGAAGGTTTCTTCAGAGGACCACCACTGATACTGCTTCTCTCATCTTCAGAGAAAATAGACTACCTGTCCAACGAGATTCAATCTCATTACTGACTGAGCATGATTAAAAGCAGCATTGAATAGTAAAAAGAGGACAGAATGGGAAAAACTGCTGGAATTTAGTCTGGGAGAAAGCTGACCTCGGCTGGCAAATTTTTAAGCAGAGGAATAGGGATTAAATTTTAGTAGGCCATAAAAACGCAGACATGCACATATATTTTGTACAATGACACTGTTGTACACAGAATGGCAAGACTTCTCAGGAGCTTGAAAAAGTTCATCCACATGCTGGATGCATACAGTTGGAGGTGTGTTCCACATATTTATGTTATGCCTTACAGAAGTATGTAAATGCAGTCAAATGACACGGATCAAGCACACATTTTTTGTAAAGGCAGAACTAGAAATATTCTTAAGATTAATTTTAACTCAATGACCTTTCGCTCACTGATAACTACTATTGCTTTAGGATAAGCCATTGGAAAAAAAAAAAAAGATTTGACTCACTCAATATTAATTTTACAATGTTTTTCCTCTACCTGCTTTGACATCCACTTTTTAAAATCTGTAGCCATTAAAATAAGGTTTGTGAAGTCAGTCACACAGGTCCCTTTGGCTCCTCAGAAATACCCTGAGCCATCAGTTAAAAGCCTGACACACTGAAATAACGCAACTTAATTGGCAAAGGAATTCTGATTTGCAAGCTTCATGCACAGAGTCCTGGGGACTCAAGGGCAGTGAAGGAGTGTGACCCTCACAGGTCTGGATGTTCTGGTGGTTGTAGTAATTCCCTTGAGAGGATTTTCCTCTGGCAATTTTTCTGCAGATGAATTTCTTAGGAGAGATGCTAGGGCAGCCTGGGGCAGCTCGCTGAATGGTCAGCTGAGGATTGCCCTGGGCAAGAGTCTAAGACTGAACTGTAGTGATCTTTCTGAAATCACCTTCTAGCTCAGTCCTAGCACAGTTTTGCCTCCTGATGAGACAAACAAGG